AATGACCACAAGCTGTCCTTCAGGTTCCCAAGTCGTTTTCTTGCTATTTTGGTAATCCTAAAGGACTTAAAAATCTTGAGGATATTTTTTTCACTATCAAATTCAGAAGTCATGAACAGGTGATTTAACCATTTGCAGCATCAACAACAAGAAGTTTCGTACCCGTTTTGTAAAACGTTGAAGAAAGATTTGGAGGGCAAGCGTTTACAACTTAAATGGTTTTAATGACTTTAAATTGCAAATTTCATAGTAATAAGACTATGCAACATGCATCTTTCGATTCCTGAATGTAAACCGGATGTATTAATTCGATTGTAAATTACAGAATGAATTCGGAATTATGATACGAAATTTCTTCAGATTATGAAATTGCAGTTAATAGTCATGCATTTACTTTTAAACTTGTAAAGTGATTCAATATAATAGATATTTTTGTACTCCTGTTATTTGGCATGAAATTATGTTCTGTTTTACGTCTTATTTTGTACTCATTTAAAAAGGGTGTTGTTGATTGCACAAATCAATATAAAAGCATGTGTTCGACTTGTTAAACTTTTTTCTTCGTAACTGGATTTAAAATTTATTATTTAATCTAAATTTTCATTAGCATTTGCTGAAACTTAATTAATTAAATAATACAATAAATCGTCTATCATGATTAAGTGTACACCTGTCAGATGTGTCAATCTACCTGTACAAGTGATTAGCGATCTTTAGCGGGATATCCCTTAGGGCTTTAAAACTGTCATCAGGAGGACCCTTTGGATTATAATACAATAAGGGTTATGCAATTACATGCAATTGATTATAATTGCTAACAAAAATGGCGGCGGCTAGCGAAACGAATAAAAATTTGGACATTGGCGCGGATAATTTGACGATGACGGAATATAATTTAACGATGGCGGAAGATATTATAACAATGGCGATGCGCCATCATAAAACAGGTCATGGAGATCTCTGAAGGAGTCATCTGACAAATTAGGCCATGTTAACATTTTGTAGATCTTATCTTGCTGATCATTTTTGCTATTTGAAATTTCTCTCTTGACATTTTTGTAGATCTTGTCTTGCTATTTTGCTATATAAAGATTATCTCTATCTATTATAATTTTCAAGATGATAGGCAAAAATCTTAAAAATTCGTAAAATTCATCATTTCAGGACAATAACTCCCATAAGATGTCCGAAAGTTTTAATATAAAAGAACTGTAGGTAGATCTTGTCATTCTAAACATATTTGCTCTGTCAGATTTCTCCATTTATATAGCCATTTTCAAGACAATAGACAAATCTTGCATTTCACCCTATGTTCTTTTTTAGTCATTTTAGCCATGGTTAAATTTGGCCCAGTATTTTTAGAGTAGATTTTGTAAAAGTTAACAATGATGGACACCAAGTATTGAGAAAAGCTTACTTGGCCTTTTGGGCCAGGTGAGCTAAAAATGAACCATACAATGTCTATCAACTTAAGCTCACCGTAAAACTGGTATTTGCTTGAATTCCACAACAAATCTCTGACAGGTTGTATGATGAATAAGCCTCAATTTGAGTCTGTAATTTTAAAAAGGAAAACATTTATATATTTTTTATTGACAGATAACTATACAAGCAAAAGGATATTTGATATAAGAAACTTATTTTTGACATCATAAGAAACCATGTGTATTGTGAACAGCTACTGATCACCACATATATATATGCAAAGTAAAATTTTCTCAAGAGCTGTCATTATTTAAAAAAAACAATTCTTGCACTGGAAGATCAACAAGACAATGTCAGTTGTTGAGTTTAGAAATGCAGCAGCATCCATACTACGTCACTAGTTAAATAATTTCCTTGAATTTTACTTTGAAGAACAGAATCATATATTCTCTTAAACTGAATTTAATTTCGGTCTGTAAATGGACTGTGATAAAAACAAATTAGTGACTGTAAATTGATTTTAATTTATATTCTAAACATGTCATTTAGCATGAATTGAGTTGATATTGCATTTCAGAATTTCAAGTGCTTGTATGTTTTACAAATATATAGATACAGATAAAGTTCACTGAAAAAAGGTAACGTTTCAACCCACTCAGAATTTTTGCACCCTTTTCTGGGGAGTCTGAACACTGAATGTTATCTCAGTCTAGTTCTACAGCAGAATGCATCGAGTGTGTAGGTAAAGGTAATATCTTTGGTTAGCTTGCTTGCTAGCTGAACCGTGAAGTCATTATTTGGTTAGGTAAACTACCCTCCTTTAAGAGTAGACTAGTCCGACAGATAACCAATCTATCTGTTTTTAGGACTAGACTACTCGGAAAGAAGTGAAGTATACCTAACATAATAATGACTTCACGGTTCAGCTAACAAGCAAGCTAACCAAAGATTATACCTTTACCTTCACACTCAATGAATTCTGCTGTAAGTAAAATTATGGGGATCAACAAAAATCAAAATATAAAATAACCTCAGCAGACGTCATGACCATTTGGACTAAAGTTAACTATCAGTCACACTTTTTATATTTTATCAATCTTTGTCATGATGACAGGGTAATCTCTCTTGTGAATTATTCTCTCTTGTAAAATTATAATCACTAATGTAGTTTCTCCGTTGTACTTTAATATTGTAGGTGGCGCTTTATTAATAAAGGGGAAAAAAATGATAAAAAAGTATTTAGAAAAAATTAAAATTTAAAAAAAAAAAAAAATGTATAATCAGGTAATTGAATTGACATGAAAAAAAAAATGAAAAAAAACGTCTATTAAATTATCCACTAAAACGGTTTATCATTTTATGTATAACTATCATATACGTCCTTGATTTTATGATCTTTTTTCATGTTTTATAGTATCTAAATTATATCTGCTTTGGAACTTCAATGCTGTATTTCAATCAGTTTTAATTTGATGTCTTATTACCTTTCAAAGTGAAAAAACAGGTATTATGACAACAGACTAGGACTAAAATATATAGTTAGTGTAGTTGTCCCAGCAACTTGGAATGATGAAATGTTTCCGCAACTCACTAAAGATATAAGGGGCACCTAAGGAAATATCTGGATAAAAGTTACAGCAATGTGAATGAGTGTGTCGAAAAGTATTATTTTTATTTCAAACAACTACCTAAACAAGAAACAACGTAACTAAAAGATAAACAATCTATATAGTTACATCTATTTTTTAATGATGTAAGCGACAGTTTACTATTTTAGAAAGTATTTTTCATACCCCAAAAATTCAGAAGAGTACTGACCATATCTAAATCACTACTTTTGAGATACACAAAATATAGTGCATTGATCATAATGTTCTAAACATCCTATCCAGAAATTCATCAATGAAATATAATGCTCTGGAGTCGGTTTCACAAAAAACTTAACGACTAAGATTGATAGTATTATTAAAGTATACTGAATAATTTGTTCATAACTTAAGATCAATCTTATAGTCGTAAGTATTTTTGTGAATTCGACTCCAGATATTCAAGTTACGAAATGATGTTATATTTGTCAGCAAATTACATAAATTGTGCAAGGTGCAGGAATCTAATATTTGTTCTAAGAATACCAATGATGTTATTGTTAAAGTATAATCTTTAAAATTGTTGGAGTTATCTTCCTTTGTCCATAATGGTAGTTGAATCAACTACAACCAAGCAATGTTTAATTTGACTTCCCATTGTTAAATTAAAGCAAACTTTACCCTTGTAAGTTTGATTTTAATTTATCATCATACTTTTCGGTAATTAGATATATACAAATGTGGTGGAAATCATATGCTCTTTTATTATGTCCATGAAGTTTTATGAATATTCCAAAAAGAAAAGAAAAATTTGAAAGGTTTTTATTGAAGATCTTAGCTTGTTGAAGGTCTCTTAGTTCTATTCCTTAGTAGTATAAACTAAAATCGACCCATCTGCCTTTTATTCTCCATTTTGGAGCATAAACTGGCTGTGTTTAAGTAGAGTGTAATGGGAGTACCTTCATGACGAATAAAGGTAAAAATTCTTTCCAAATGACGTTAACGGTAATTTTTGGTGCATGACGATTAAACATACACTTTCGATAAAAAAATTGACTGGTTTTGACGAATCACTTTAATTTTTTTCCAAAATATAACAATAATAATTTGAGCCTTCTGACGAATCACGATAAGAATATTTTGACGAATCACGGTAAAATTTTAACCAATTTGACGCTAACGGTAGCCGAATATGACCGTTTGACACCTGGCGGTAAATGGCATTCCTACCCTCTAAATGAGGCCTACTGTAATGATACTATGTCATATGAGGCAGGTGATTCCTGTGAAAGAGGACAAATTTCTTCAGTATTATTGTCATGATTTTTATTGGTAATTAATCTGATCTACAGATTTGCAAGAAATCCTATGCACTACAACATTGAAGCCTTTGTAAACAGGGTATGTGCAAGTGCAAATGTATTTAAAAAAGTTAATATTTTGGATACATTACATTTGTAGTGTATTGATTTTCTAACTGTTATTAAGGCCTTAATTCCTTCCAGTTAAAAACATATATTTGACAAAAAAATCAGTTGCATGCATGGATGAATATTCCCTATGGTATTGCCTTCTTGATTGAAACCTCAAGCATTCCTCAAAATTTATTTTGTCTTATAATTATTGCCTTCATGGTTGGATTGAATAACAAAAATGTTATAACACATTTCTGAAACACAGAAACCTTCCATGTGCTGGTCATTAGATATAAGAAGATGTGGTATGAGTGCCCATGAGACAACTCTCCATCCAAGTAAAAATTTATAAAAGTAAACCATTATAGGTCAAAGTACGGTCTTCAACACGGAGCCTTGGCTCACACCGAACAGCAAGCTATAAAGGGCCCCAAAAAATACTAGTGTAAAACCATTCAAACGGGAAAACCAATGGTCTAATCTATATATAAAACGAGAAACACTTATGAACCTCATCAACAAACGACAACTACTGGACATCAGATTCCTGACATAGGACAGGTGCAAACAATTGCAGCGGGTTTATGCTTTCTGCTCTCTGGTCAGGTTGTTGTCTCTTTGACACATTCCCTGTTTCCATACTCAATTTTATATTATGCAATTATATGTAATGTTATTTATTCTCTCAAGAATATTGTTACATCCCTTAAAAATGCATATTTTATTGTATTGGTACATGTAGAGATAAATACTCCAAAAAAGTTAATGCATATATACAGTTGTATGTCATGTATGTATATTTTCCTTTCTATAGGGTTGTAATTACACCACTTTGTTAAATACCAGATTAAATTACCATACAAAATCCTGTCATGCTAAAACAGAATGTTTAGAAAAATGCCAGATTTGTGGTAAAGTATACCCAGCAGACAAGAAGTTCAAGGATCATGTTTATGGAGTCCATGGAAATGATAGGATGATAAGACTGTAATGTGAAATATGTGGGCATGTCATGAAAAAAGCTGGGATGTACATGTAAAAGTAAGTAGTTTTGAATAATTTTTTTTTGATTGAGACCATATAGGAATAAAACAGATTTCTTTTATACAAACATTCTATGCAGCACATTGTTCAACTCTGTAAAGTAGTGCATTTAGTTATTTTTGGGGTTAAAAATAAGTTTAAAGAATATGAAACACTCTTGGGAATTAATTAATTAATTATATAAAAAAATGAGCACCAAATATATTTTGCAGATCTGACAAAGAAATATTCTTTAAACTAGAGATTTTTTTCAGAGCAATACTCATTCAATTCAAGAGTTTTCAGAAGCATGCTACTGTGGATTCATTTATTTTTTGTGGGTACCAATTTTCGTGGATTAAAGAATTCTTTCATGTTCGTGGATATTTAATTTCGTGGTTTTTGACAATGTTTGCATACAAGCCTATAGTGAATTTGCCATTCGTTGAACTTTTAATTTCGTTGTTAACATATAACCACGAAATCCATGAAAATTGGTTCCAACGAATAATAATGAATCCACAGTAATTGATTAATTTAAAGATAAATCTTTCAGATAAACATGATAAATGGGCTAACAAATTGATAAATCACTTTTGTCTTATGTCAATTTTATTATGTTGTGCCTAGCATACATGCATCCTTTTATACACATTTTGTATTATTATTTGACAACTTCTCATTATGAATATATTGATCCCTTAATCCATGTTAATTTCATATACAAAAAAATTAATATAAAGATGTGTTACATGTGATCTACATATAATAATTTTTATCAAATTAAAATTATTTTTACTGTCTATGGATCTAGGAGAAAAGATAAACACCTTTCATCTTTTTAGTATGGTCTTTTAAGTGCCACATGCTTGCTAAACATGATATTGAAGAGAAATTGCCAACAGTTCTATGCCATTTATGTCCTAAAGAATTCAAGCAACAGTTTGTATTGGATGAGCACTTGTTAAAAGTCTATAAACAAATCCCTCCTGGAAGAGAGAAAGTCATGTAAGTAAAAGCTTGATTATTTTGTGTTAAACCTTTAAGTGATTAGCGTTAGAGTAAGACTAACTGTAGTTTAAGATTCAAGACTTCAATCCTCTAATTTACGTTAACCCCCTTTTTTATTCCAATCTTTAATATATGTTATCTGTTACAAAACCCATACTTTAAGATACTTGTGCATTTCCAAAATGGCATTGTTCTTTAAAAATCAAGTTTACAACAGTCAAGGAAAAAGTAGGGAAATATAAGGATACATAAGACTTACTGGCAGACAACTTGCTTATGCAACTGCATAGCAATCTAATTGCTTCAATTTTTTTTTTTGCAGTCATGCATAGTATATTTATATATAGTATTTAAAGTAGGGATGGCAAAAAAATACATAAAAAAATGTGTACAGGTACTCATATGCTTGTAATTACTTTAAAAAACTTGATTGTCATCATCAGCATCATGATATGCAGATACTTTTTAAAATAATTGTATTCTTTTGTTTATTAGTGTTTTCTGTAAGATTTTACAAATAGTATCATTTGTTTATATTTTTGTAATACTTTACATTCCATAAAATTTTTAAGCAAATCTGCAATAATTTATAATTTACTATAGTGAACTGCTTAACTATGCTAAAGTTGCAAAGTCAATAGACCATGAGAGAGCAGGGACAAACTAATCTGCATGGAAATGTAAGATGTACCAATGCTTCTACAAATACATACTTAATATCATTGACTTACCATTAATGGTTCCCCTCAAACTTCATCACAAACTTAAACATATATTAAAGATTGGAATAAAAAAGGAGGTTAAAGTAAACTAGACTAAGCCAACAACAGATGAATTCAGAAAACAAACTTTGTGATAACTGAATGGCTTTCAGAAATAATCAGGTGCTTTCACTATTTAGTATCCTCTACAATAACTATTGAATAAGCATATATAATTAGATTTTCTTTTCTTTGATTTGTTTTTTGGTGTTTTAACGCCACTTTTGGGCTATTTCGTGGCGGCCAGTTTTTATTGGCAGAGGAAGCCGGAGTGCCCGGAGAAAACCACAGACCTTCGATAGGAAAACTGACAATCCTAGACAATTAAGATTGGAGTCGAGTGCACCTGCACGAGCGGGGTTCGAACTCACAACCTCAGTATTGACTGGCTTGTGATTACAGTAGAAACTACTTAGACCACTCGGCCACCGAGGCCCCTTTTCTTTGACACAGCAGAAATAATAGTAGAATTAATTGTTTTTTTATAGATGAAAAAAGTTAAATCTAGGTTTTCAGGGGCATAAACAAAACATAACTGTATGCTTGTGTTTCTGTTACCTCTGAGGTTTGATTTATTTATAACTCCAAAGTGGAAATAACAATTTATAAATTTGGTGCATTTAAAGATGTCCTTTAGACAGCAATCTAGCAAAGTAGATTATAAGAAAATGAAAATCTAAAAGTCCTTGTATGTTTTAAATAATGAGTTCAAGCAAAATTTTTGTAGTATCATTTATGTCTTTTTTAATCCTTTTAAACAATCAGGTACTTTTTATCATTATTTGTTTTTATTTCAGTTGAACCAGGAAGCAGTCCTAAAGTTCCATGTCCAATTTGTGGAAAAATGTTGAGAAACATTAGAAAACATATCTACAAAATGTCCATGGTAATACTTTGTTAGGGAACGACCATTTAACTTCAAGGGGGGTTATGGTTTTTTCCTAAAAAAATATTCTGAATCCAGATTTTCCCCATAGCTTATAGTGTTAAATTTTGAAAAAAATAATTTGATTGATTTCGTCGAAAAACTAAAAGAAAATGTTCGAAAAAAATTTTCTGACTCAGACAAAAAACCATACCCCCCCCCCCTAGAAGTTAAATGGTTGCTCCCTTACAACACTGCAGAATATAGGAAAAGTTGAAAATTTTAGCCAAGATATTAATAGTTTGATGTTCCATTGAGGGTACTTAATTTTCAATTAAGATTGCATACTAGTACAATATAATAACATTGATTTGGCAAATAATGAATTTCATATAGGAGATTGAGAAACTAATTATTCATTTGCACATGGTTAGGAGCAGTATTATGTAGCAAAAATGTCATGCAGTTTAAAAAAAAATAAAGGAGTTCTGGAGACATCAGCTTTACAAGTTGTATATTTTTGGACTGTGAATACAACCTTTCAATGAAATTGCAAATGCAAAAATCTTATCAAATATGTACACATAATAAGGAACAATAATACATTTGAATTAATTAAACAGTATAAGACCTGCCAAAAAAAAAATGAAGGAGATTTCAAATAAAGTTTATCTACAAATGAAACAATCTACACATATCCCCAAACATCAGTTTTTGGTGGGGTTAGTGTTGTTCAGTCTTTGGTTTTCTATGTTGTTTTTGTGTACTGTTGTTTGTCTTTTTCTTTTTTAGCCATGGTTGCGTCAGTTTATTTGACTTATGAGTTTGAATGTCCCTTTGGTATCCTTCGCCTCTTTTTTAGAGCTCAGAAATAACAAAACACAGAGTAATTTAATATACTGCAAGAGGTTTAGTGCAAAATGTGTTGTTTTTTTTTATATTTCAAAGAAAGGGTGAAGAAAACTTGCATTATTTTTTCAAATTTGTCATGTGTCAGAATTCTCTGTTCATTTTAGATGAAAAGAAAGAATGTCCTTATGATGATTGTAATTTTTTATGTGCTACAAAGAGAAATCTGGACAACCATATCAATAACATGCACACAAACAGAATAGAAGTATGAACTTGATACAGTGTATTATTGGTTCACCAGGCAGCATTCAGCTGTTGTGACACATAAAGATCACACCTTTGATCAAATCCCCAATTCCTTAAATATGGCTTGACAGAATTCAACCTATATAAAATAATGAGATATTGTATGATTGCCAATGAGATAACTACTGTTAATTTAGAAATTATTGCGTGCATTTATTATTGGGATTTTGTCATTTTAGACTAAAATGCGATTTTAATTTTTGCGATATTGAGAAAAATCCTGTTTAATTCATATAAAAAATTTCAAAATGCGAGTTTAAATTATTGTGATTATAACCCTGTCATATTTTTCGTAATAAAAAAAGCATTGCAATAATTTCTGAATTTTCAGTATCCTTCAGAGACCAAATGAGGTAGATGTCAGCAACTATAGGTAATTGTAGGGCCTTCAAGATCGACATTGAACATACCTATCTATGAGCCTGTTTTGAGCTTACAACCAAACATTTGACAGGCTAATGATCACTGTAGACGAACTTCTTAGATCACATGGCCACTGAATTCCCTACACTTATCTGATATTGTAAACAATTTAAATATTTTTAATATTCATGATTTACAATGTTTTCTCGATTTTATTGGCACGGAAAGTCATGAATTATGGTCAGATGGGTGACTTTCAAATAAATAGCCAATGACCTTGCCTGCTGCTAATTACATCCATAATCAAGCCCTGTGGAACACAAATTTCACACAAAAATGAATGTGGCGGTAAAATTTTCTCTTCATAGAAGGAATTATTCATCCTAAGGATGTATAGTTACAAAATTATATATGATTGTAAAAAAAAGGGGCAGGTGCAATTTTTATATGTCTTACAAAAGTAACTTAGTATATTAAAAGGAATTTTAAAGTTGTATGATAACTCTATAAATTTTACTCAATGGCGTTTAAGTTTTCATCAATAAAAATGTGTATTGTTTATGCAAAGTAAAAATCTTAAGTAAAGATCAACCTTTAAAGATTTTAACTTTCCAACAGAATACTTCAGATTTACCAATAAGAAAAACTCTCTTAGAAAAACTGCAACCTTTTACATAGGAAATCTAGATGGGATACACAAGCTCTGGAATATCATATCTACGAAGAGATATTTACTCCATTTGCAAATGCTAATGGAATGCAATTACATTTGTATCAAAAAGATAACCTCACAGTCATGAGTGGGAAAAATTAATGATAAATGATCGCTTTCATTGAGGCAGCAACCTAATGGCACAAATTGTAAAAGACATCCAAAGGTCAACAAATTTTTACACTGACCTTCAAATGTATTTTATCATTAGATATTTTTATCCTAAAGTTAGAATGAAAATAATTTTTATCATAGTTAAAATATGAAAAATGTATATACTATAACTGACAGCTTATTGTTACTGTAAATTCAGAAATTATTGCGTGCATTTATTATTGCAATTTTTATACGACCGCAAAAAAATTTTGTGGTCGTATATTGGTATGACGTTGGCGTTGTCGTCATCCGAAGACACATTGGTTTTCGCACTGTAACTTTAGTTTAAGTGAATGGATCTCTATGAAATTTTACCATAAGGTTCAATATAACAAAAGGAAGGTTGGGATTGATTAGGGGTTATGGTACCAACAGTTAAGGAATTAGGGGCCAAAAAGGGGCCAAAAATAAGCATTTTTGTAACTTCCAGACATAACTTGTGTGTTAGTGTATGGATCTCTCTGACATTGTACCACAAGGTTCCATATCACAAATTGAATGCTTGGATTGATTTTGGGGGTAATTGCCTCAAAGTTTTAGGAATTAGGGGGTAAAAAAGGGGCAAAAAACAAGCATTTTTCTAGTTTCATGACAATAACTTGTGTGTAAGTCTGTGGATCTTTCTGAAATTGTACTACAAGGTTCCATATCACAAAGGGAAAGCTGGAATTGAGTTTGGGGGTAATTGCCTAAAACGTTTAGGAATAAGGGGCCAAAAAGGGGCCAAAAATAAGCATTTTTCTAGTTTCCAGACAATAACTTGTGTTCAAGTGTATGGATCTCTCTGAAATTATACTGCAAGGTAACATACCACAAAGGGAATGCTGGGATTGATTTTGGGGGTGATGAATCATAGGGGGGTTAAAAAAAATGATATGGTTTGAATAGGTAAATTAAAAAAAATTAAGTTCTTAGACCACATTCATTCTGTGTCAGAAACATATGCTGTGTCAAATATTTAATCACAATCCAAATTCAGTGCTGTATCAAGCTTGAATGTTGTGTCCATTCTTGCCCTAACTGTTCAGGGTTCGACCTCTGCGGTCTTATCAAGCTGTGCCCAGCGGAGCATTTTATTTAAAAATTAACAAAAAAAGCGAATTTAACTATTGCGAATTTTGGAAAAGCTACATACAGATATATGTATTTGATATCAGAATGCGAGTTTTTATTATTGCGATACTCAAGTAGTCACGTTATTCGCATTAATAAAAATCTCGCAATAATTTCTGAATTTACAGTAATTGATCATCCCAAATAACCTCTTAACTGTTGTCACATTCCTGAAAAAGTACAGTTATTAGTCCCCTACCGACTTCGGAAGGGGACTTTAGGTTTTCACTCTGTCTGTCTGTCTGTCTGTCCATCCGTCAGTCCGGCAAATCAGTTTTCCACACTTTTTTTCTTCATTCTTGAAGATATTGATTTGATATTTGGTTTATTGTTTTATCATGACAAGTTATAGATCAAGTTAGCATTTTGTTTCAGTACAATGAATTTTTAACTGGTAGGGGACTATGTATTGCCAGGCAATACTCACAGAATGCTTGTTTTTAATAAAAAATAGTATTTCCTTCTACACCCTTACACATAAGCCTTCATTTGGTATGACAGCCACAGATAGTTCAGAAGCCTTCAATCTGAAAAAAAAGCCAGATAGATAAAGAAGGGACAAACAAAAATCATAAGTGGAATAAAAATCAGCAATACTATGGCAAAAAAAGCCCAGAAAAAACAACAATTTGACAAAGTAGAGTATACAACACAAAAACCTGAGCAACACAAACCTCACAAAAAACAGAATGGTTTTAGGTGTTTGGGAAAGGTACACAGATTCTACTTCATATGTGGCACCGTTGTGTTTCAAACGGCAAGAAGAAATTTGATGAAAGGTCTTATTCACTGATGTCTCTATCTTTGAAACAATGTGCAGCACAAACTCTAAACTTCAGGGGATACATATAATTCAATATAAAAATGAACACAAATATAAGACTCCAGTGGCAAAAAATACAATATAAAAAATGAACACAAATAAAGACTCCAGTGGCAAAAAATACAGTATAAAAGATGAACACAAATAGAAGACTCCAGTGGCAAAAGTTAATCATTAATCGTTCTAGAGTTATGCCCCTTTACAAATGGAAAAATTGCTGAATTTTTCGTTTACGTTCTCTTTAGTTTGCCTCAACCAAATGTTATGAAACTTATACACAATGCTTATTACCACAAAACACAGATCAAGTTTGAATTTTGGTGGTGTCACTTGTACTGTTTAGAGTTATGCCCCTTTATAACTTTATATGATATGCAAGCGGGGTATCATCTGTGTCCCATGGACACACTCCCTATTTATTTAACATTTACAAAACATAATTTAATATATATTTTTATACCCCATGCAACGAAGTGGTATGGGTCGGTTCGCCCTGGGTCCGTTCGCCCTGGGTTCGTTCACCCTGATAGTCCATTCGCCCTTGGTTCGTTCGCCTTATTTTTTTTTAGAATATGTATATGTTACATTTATGAACGAAAATAAATATTTATTAAAATTTATATATATTTATCCCAATTTATGTATATCTATCAAAAGTTAAATACAGAATATTTGAAAAAAATTATATTAATTAAATTCTTGGCTGCACTTTTTTTAAAATTTATAATTACTTTTAAATACTGTTGATTGAATTTTGATTGC